CACATTGCCATGTGTGTAACTATGCAACAATCTTGCATGTTCTTCACATGTACCCCAAAACCTAAAATGCAATAAAATATATATTAAAAATAGAAAAGAAAGAAAGGGAGGGAAGGAGGGGTTCTCCATTCTTATTTCCTAGATTAATAAACCATACAACTTTGTTAAAATTTTGGGTCTCCTTTTCAGTGCCCTTATTTTACAGCTATAGGAACTGAGGCCCATAGAGATTACATGTGACATGTCCTACATACATGGTAAATTAGTGACATTGATAACAGAATCCTAGAAACCTTAACTCTCACAGTTCTTTCTGTTGCATGAAGCAATAAAAGTGTTACGGCAAAGATTAGCATTTTCCAGTGTGTGTTATGCAAGTTCATTTCTTTATGCCCTTTGGGAGCAACAGGGCTTCTTTAGATCATGCTGAATACTCCCTCTTTACAGTCAACCGTAGCACTTTAAAGGTGCTCAGATGTCCTCAAGTAAAGAAACCTATTTGGCTTTGTTTAATCCTACATTTTCTAAACTTTGGGAAAGCACTTTGGAAAATGCTGGCCTGGGGCTTTCTTTTTTGGGGCTGGGATGCTGGGGGTAGGTTAGGGAGGAGAAAGTTGACTTCTCTTTTTTAAAAAAATGTCTCATAGGGTTTTTAGTCTCTCTTGCATTCAACATGATTCCCCACCCCCACCCCACAGTTGAGTCTGCCATGATCACTGGAGCTTATTTTATTTTAAGACAGTCAGCATCATCCGATTGGGACTGATCATGTGCTGTTAAGAGGGAGTCCCCCAGAATGATAATTCTAGAAAAAGGATTCATCAGCCATTTGTGTCTTCTGGGCCTCTCCAAGTCCTGTAGACCTTCTCTCCTCTTCCCTCTCCTTGCTCCCCTCTCCTTTACATCATTCAAAGATTGGATGTCTGTAGGAGAGAGACCAGCCTTACCTGGAGAAAACACATTGCTGGGGAGATTAGACTTGAGACTAGTTCTCATTACCAATATCTAAAAGTGGTGGTTTAGATTAAGAGATAAATAACAATACTGAGCACCATTTGGTATAGGGTTTGGTTACCTGAGAAGTAATGAAACTAATCCCTGAATTAATTTTGAGAAGAAATATTGCTGTACTACTAGAACTATAGTCAGGGTTACCCGTGAGGCTTTGGAACTGGGTCATACAGGTAGACTCAACTCAAGGGATACATCTGATCCAGGCAGACCTCCGCAGCCTCCCTTGCCTTCTAAAGTCTGTGTTTATTTTAGCATGCAGAGCTCCAGTAGGATATATGGATGTCCCCAGATCAGTTCATCCTGAAGGGAGTTCCCATTAACCAGGAGCTACCAGGAAGAGTCCTTAAGTCCCCAAAACACTTGTATTTCAGGCCACCTCTCTGAGGCAAAACCCCAGCTCTCCCAGCAGCTACTACTGCTTATTGTAGTGCTAAATGGCCAAACATTCTTAGCTCTCAGCCTCTGACTTCCTTTAGTGTTTGCAACTTGTTCTTGTTTCTCCATAGGGGCCGTTGATGTCATATAACTCTTGTATAATTGCTTTAGAATATCTAATTGTGCTCATGATAAAATAGAGCTTTTTAAATCTTGGTGTTCTTCCCTTACCAAAGGGTTTTTTTTTGGTTTTAAAAAAGGCGTTTTTGACATGGTTTAAGTATTAAACCACTGTAATACACATTAAGTGTTCCTTATCCGAAATGCTTGGAACCAGACGTGTTTCAGGTTTTGGGATTTTTCCAATTTTGGAATATTTGTGTCTACACAAGATAATAAGATAGATAATAATAAGATAGCTTGGTAGGGGACCCAAGCCTAAACCCAAAATTCATTTATGGTTCATACACACTTTATAGACATAGCCTGAAGGTAATTTTATACAGTATTTTAAGTAATATTGTGTGTTAAACAGTTTATGTACATTGAACCATCAAAAAGCAAAAAAGCCTCAGAATTTTCCACTTGTGGCATCCTGTCAGCACTCAAAAAGTATTGATTTTAGAGCATTTCAGATTTGGGATTCTCTGATTACGGATGCTCAACATGTAGCATCCTGAGTCTCTCTACAAACCATACAAGATTCTCAGATAAAAATAGTAACGTGTGTGCATGTGTGTACGTGTCATAAAGTAAGAGTAGTAAGCTCTTGTCCACTTCTAAAGATGCTTCTGATTTTTCTTCATCCAGAGGGAAAGCTGTATTCTTCCTTGTTTTATTTGAACAATTTTGTGCCATAAGCGTACTCTGTGCTGTGTTACTGAGTTTACTCTCGGTCAATAGAAATAAGAGAGAGAGAAAAAAAGAAATAATATGAAACTTGAAAGTGAGAAGAGGCCTAGCCATAGGAGTGACACCATGCCGTCTTACCTTTAGAAACACTTCAATATGAATTTCACCATCTCCCATTACACCTGGATTCCAAGTTCATCTTAAAACTCTTTCCCCCGCCTTCATTTTAGTAAAGGCTTTTTATTTTGCATAATAGTTTTATTCTGGGCCGGTTGGAATGGCTCACACCTGTAATCCCAGCACTTTGGGAGGCCAGGGCGAGTGGATCACCTGAGGTCAGGAGTTCAAGATCAGCCTGACCAACATGGAGAAACCGAGTCTCTAATAAAAATATAAAATTAGCCAGGCATGGTGGCACATGCCTATAATCTCAGCTGAGGGAGGCTGAGGCAGGAGAATCGCTTGAACCCAGGAGGCAGAGGTTGCAGTGGGCTGAGATTACACTATTGCACACCAGCCTGGGCAGCAAGAGCAAAACTCCATCTCAAAAAAAGGGAAGTTTTATTCCGTATTTTTGATAATGTATTTTAAACTTTTTTGAGAAAGGATTGTTTGTGCTATTTTTGTGTTTTAAATGTAAGCCCTTAGTGAGTGAGATTAGGATTTGACCTGTAAGTGAGGCCACAAACTTGGCCTCCAGGCCCTTACTTTCTTTGAAAGAACTCCTATAAAAAGCCTGATAGGATCTTGAAACTTCCGTGGACCTCAGCTTTAAAACTAAGATTTGTTTTACGTTTGAAGTGGAATTAATACAGGTAATTTTAGTTCCTTTCTTTGCAAAAATTGACAACATTCAAAACCCGTTCAGTATAGCTTGCAACAGTTCTTCTTTTTGTTCCCCAAATATTTTCTCCCCGCCTCCAATATTTTCAACCTGCAGTTGGTTGAACTATAGGTGCAGAAGAACCCATGGAATACGAAGGGCAGACTATATATTAAACCCTTTAGAATCCTTGCTGTGTAGTTCTAGTTTTTACAGAATGCACTGTCTGAGTATCTGGCTACCCACAGCCTTTCTTCTAGTAGAATGCACTGAAATGAAGTCTAATGGCACTGTTCTTACAGATAGGTAGATAAGTTTCAAATAGGGAATTTGCTTATATAAGTATATGATTTGATTAGAGTTACTGCTACTTTTCGTAATATCTATATCTAGTTAGTAAGTTTCCTAGTCTTATCCTGAACACTGTAAGTAGTAATTATATGTTTAGATAAATAAATTTTCATGGCTGGCACAATGGCTCACACCTATAATCCCATCACTTTGGGAGGCCAAGGAGGTTGGATCACTTGAGACCAGGAGTTCAAGACCAGCCTGGCCAACATGGTGAAACCCCATCTCTACTAAAAATACAAATATTAGCCAGACATGGTGGCACTCACACCTGTAGTCCCAGCTACTCAGGAGGCTGAGGCAGGAGAATCGCTTGAACCCAGGAGGCGGAGGTTAAAGTGAGCCAAGATTGCACGACTGCACTCCAGCCTGAGTGCCAGAGCGAGACTCTGTCTAAATAAGTAATTAATTAATTAGTTTCATACAAATATAGTCTATAAAAGATTATAGGAAAACACAGATGTTAACAGCAATATTCTTAAACATGAATTCATAAGGTTATGCTTTATCACTAACAAATGAAAAATTCCAAGCACTTGACACAGTTCTGTTTCTAGCAGGGTTTTTGTGATAATTTGTATACGTGTTTTTCAGTGTATTTGTTGAAACACTTCATTCTTCGTTATGAGGCTAGGTTAACTGCCTACTGGTTGGTTTCTTAATTCCAATAATAAATTTTAAACTGTGTTTTCTCTTTTTAAACTGTTACCCCATTTAGTCAGGTAAATTTTATGTATCTAGATGGCGTAAAGATTTAGAAGTGTTTCTATTAGTCCTGTTCTCTCTTAAAATTTCTTTTTTGCATACATCTCTTGTTAGCAGCTCTGTGAGTTAAGGTTCCATGTTCAGAATTTAATCTATAATTATTAGAATTACCTCTTACTGCTACTGCCCTATTCATGTAAATCATCATATCTGATAATAGAAAGCAGTATTTTTGTTTCAGGGCTTTATGGAGTGGATAGATAAAATTTTTTGTTTCGTGTCTTTTGCCATGTGTATAATAACTTCTTTCAAAATTACCATAGAACAAGTAGCCTACATATATTTAGCTTTAATTGTTCACCTTTCCTCCTGCCTCTTTTAGTAAAATGCCCAATTATACAGATTAAAGATTGATTTTCAGCAAATTTATTTTAAGGCAGAAAAACAACAGACTAATCAATTATGTGTTCTTTGTACGCGCAGTACTGGGGTTGACCTCTTAAACATTTGTAAACTGCTTAGAATGTTAGATAACAATGAATGGCGGTTACCTTTAAGGATTTAAAACATTTCTTTTCAGTCCAAATTCTTTTCCCTGTGTTTTGAAATATTCTTCCTGTAGCTATATATTTAAATTGGTCTGATATGTTACTTTTTACTGGCTTAGAAAATATATAATTGGTACATTTTATGGCTCAAAGTTGCAGCTAACACAGATTGATAATTAAAGCTTAAAGATTTATTTACATTTTATGAAAATTTAATGTGAATTTGACATGTTATTTGTGAATGAAACCAGTTTTCAGTCACTTTAAAAATTAAACTGTGATTTGAGATACACTTGAAAAAATGAATTAAATTATTTTTGTTTCATATCAAGAAATGGATGAAAAGAGGCTGCTGGATCCAGGGTTGAAGGTTCGTAAAGGCCTCTGGGATTATGCTCTGAAGAACCCACAGACGGAATGCCTGAGTGACTGAAGAAAATGGGTGCTAATGCATCTAATTATCCTCATTCATGTTCCCCGAGGGTAGGGGGAAATTCACAGGCCCAACAGACTTTTATAGGTAACTTTCAGTTTTTCTAACTTCATTTTCTTTTGTGACTATAAATAGAATTGTGTTTTCGGTAGTCTCTGCGGATTACAAGAGAAGTGAGCTGTAGTTATTATAACAATTCTGCAGCATCTAGATTTTTTTCCCCAACAAATATAAATCTTAAATCTGGCTTATGTGATTTTTATCCTAAACAAACTGCTTGTAGAACAGTTGTGCTTTTCTGTGTTTTAACCATAATTGCCGGTTAACCTAGGCAAATCAGCAATCTCCACTGGTGTGAAAACAGCGAAGTACATATGTCCCATTTCATTTATTTTGCCCATACAAATGTAGACTTGTATAATTAAGAAAAAGAAACATTTCACAATTATATACAAGTAATATTCTTAATTTACAACTCTGCCTACTTTTCATTTCCTAAAAAATCCATGATTAAGATCTATATGTTCTCTGATAGCCAGGGGATAAAAGACTTTTTCTAAAAAAATTTGGACTAATTGGCTCTGTTTGTCCCTATTTCTTATTTAATATAAAAAAATGTAAACTGGTCACTATGGCTTACACCTGTAATCCCAACACTTTAGGAGGCCAAGGCAGGAAGATTGCATGGGGCTAGGACAGGAGTTCAAGACCAGCCTGGGCAACATAAGTGAGACCCTATCTCTACAAAAAAAAAAAAGGTGTTTTGGTTTTTTTTTTTTTTAATTAGCCAGGCATGGTGACACGTGCCTTACTCCTAGCTACTTGAGAAGCTGAAGTTAGGGTGAATCCCTTGAGCCCAGGAGTTTGAGGCTGCAGTGAGCTATGATCTCGCCATTGTACTCCAGCCTGGGCAACAGAGTGAGGCTCCATTTCTAAAAATTAAATTGAAAACTAAAATGAGTTATTTGAACTTTTTCTTTATACAAAACAAATGCAATTTTGAGTGGTTCAGTAATGTCTGCTTGCAAAATTTTTTAGCATGAAAAATGTTAAAGTAAATGTTGAAAATGAATGTTAAGAAAAAAGAAACGAATTTTCATTTGTTTAATTTTCTTCTTAGGGACATCATCCTATTCTCAGCAAGGCTATGGTTGCGAATCAAAATTGTATAGCCTTGACCATGGCCATGAGAAACCACAAGACAAAAAAAAGAGAACCTCTGGCCTTGCCACCCTCAAAAAGAAGTTTATTAAGCGTCGAAAATCTAATAGGTCTGCCGATCATGCCAAGCAGATGCGAGAACTCCTCTCTGGGTGGGATGTTAGAGATGTCAATGCATTAGTGGAGGAATATGAGGGAACGTCAGCATTAAAGGAGCTTTCTCTACAAGCCAGTTTGGCTAGACCGGAAGCCCGGACATTGCAGAAAGATATGGCTGATCTTTATGAGTACAAATATTGTACTGATGTAGACTTAATATTTCAAGAAACTTGTTTTCCTGTCCATCGTGCCATTTTGGCAGCAAGATGTCCATTTTTTAAAACCCTGCTTTCTTCCTCACCTGAGTATGGGGCAGAGATAATAATGGACATCAATACAGCTGGTATTGATATGCCCATGTTTTCTGCTTTGTTACACTACCTTTATACAGGAGAGTTTGGAATGGAGGACTCAAGGTTTCAAAATGTCGATATCCTTGTTCAGCTTAGTGAAGAATTTGGAACACCAAATTCCCTTGATGTAGATATGCGTGGACTCTTTGATTACATGTGCTATTATGATGTCGTCCTTAGTTTTTCGTCAGACTCTGAACTGGTTGAAGCTTTTGGTGGAAATCAGAACTGTTTAGATGAAGAGCTCAAAGCCCACAAGGCGGTTATTTCTGCACGGTCCCCATTTTTTCGAAATTTATTACAAAGGAGGATACGAACTGGTGAAGAAATCACAGACCGAACTTTGAGGACTCCCACAAGAATTATATTAGATGAGTCAATTATACCAAAAAAATATGCAAAAGTGATATTACACTGTATGTATACCGACGTGGTGGACCTCTCTGTTTTGCACTGTAGCCCCTCTGTCGGGAGTCTCAGTGAAGTTCAGGCTCTCGTCGCAGGAAAGCCAAACATGACCAGGGCAGAAGAAGCCATGGAACTTTACCACATAGCACTGTTCTTGGAATTTAACATGCTTGCACAAGGTATGAAGTTCTGATTTTTAATTTTGATTTCTAGAATTATCTATTTCTCTTCCAAATTAAAAACACAGCTAGTATAGAATGATGGTTTCAGTGTTTGGGATGTTACAGAGTCAGTTTTTTTGAACCTTCAGTTAAGACATCTGAGAAAGATTGAGGGTTAGTAATTATATGGTTCTTTATTTACTATTAAAATCAAGCATTCAATACTAGTGACTAAGAGCATTAAATGAGACTTGAGGTACTTTCTTCCCTAATGTAAGACAATCGGTGTGGGAATATATAATTACAAACCTACACCCTCTCCACCTGAGCTTTGAAAGAGCCCAGTTTCCCATATTTTAAGGTTAGAGTCTCATATTTATGTTCAGTACCTCGTTGATGTTTAAAAGTTTGGAAAAAATAAAAATTCATTACAAAAATGAAGATAGTCACATTTAGATACAAATTTAATCAGAATTGGGCAGGGCTTCAGATTTAAATTTTAAAATATTTCATAACTTCTTTTTAGATTCAACTTGTACATCAAGCAACAGCCTACAGCATTTAAAGCACAGTTAGTGCTAGACTCATGTGCCTTCTTCATTTAATTTAAACTAAAATTTTTAAATTAGGACAGCACATTTTTTTTGTGTTGTAGGCAAACAAATTCATGAAAGTTACATTAGAAGTGTATAGTTGTTGGTAAATGTTAGAATCTTAAATATTTCTGAGCTGGAGAGAGACCTTTTGTAGGAGAGCAAAGACAATTTGCTGTTTTGACAGAGTGCATTCTTAACTTTCTGTGACCATATATTAAAAGAAAATATATGACACGAGACTACTTGAGAAATTTGATTCAATGCATATTAGCTAAAAGAACATTAGAAGTTGCTAGGTAGAAGAGAATATTAATGGTTTGGGTAAGAGACATGAATTTAAATAAGGAAAGCTAAGTACCAAACTTGAAATAATATGTATTCTGTGGTTAAGTCAGCCTATCAATCGGGCTTTGAGAAACTGACAGATAACCCCAGTAAAATAATATTAAGCTAGTCTCAGTGGTGTGTGGTTGTAGTTCCATCTACTTGGGAGGCTGAGGCAGGAAGATTGCTTGAGATCAGGAGTTCAGGGCTACATCAAATTGTGATCAAACCTGTGACTAGCTACTGTACTCTACTCTGGGCAATACAGTGAAAATTCAGCTCTGTTTTTTAAAAATCTCAGTAACAAAATGGGAAGTTATACAGAAGAAGGCATTGATAAACGTGAGTAAGAAAATGTTGAGATTTCTCTTACATAGAGAATCTTTTAAAAATCTTATTTTACCATAATCCTTTTATAATAGATGTTTTATTTTATTACAACAATCAAAATGTCATTACAACATTTTATTAGTTTAAAATAATCATGTATCAATAATAGACTAGCTGTCAAATTATAAGAAAAATATGTTATCAAAAATATTTTAGCAGTTTAAGCTACTATTCATTTTTTCTGTAAAACCAAATTTATCAGACATTGCTTCTACAGAAAAATTAGAAGTTTGCAACTTACCGAAAAGATATAATCATCTCTATTTTCTCAAAATTTTTTATTGTTGATGCCTTTTGATAAGAAACCAAATAATATATACTTTGTATGAGAAAGCATTCCTTAATATATGTTTTTTTCAGGGTTTTTTTGGTTGTATTAAAGACAGAGTCTTGCTTTTGTCGCCCAGGCTGGAGGGCAGTGGTGTGATTTCGGCTCACTGCAACCTCTGCCTCCTGGGTTGAAGTGATTCTTCTGTCTCAGCCTCCAGAGTAGCTGGTATTACAGACACCTGCCACCACGCCCAACTAATTTTTGTATTTTTAATAGAGGCGGAGTTTCACCATGTTGGTCAGCTGGTCTCAATCTCCTGACCTCGGGTGATCCACCCCCTTTGGCTGCCCAGAGTGCTGAGACTGCTGGGGTGAACTACCACACCCAGCCAGTTTTTTAAGTTTTATATGCAAAGTAAAATTGTCAGCCAACTCTTAGATCTTTGGTAATACTTAATTATTTTTCTAGAGTTTATCTTGAGTTAGTTTTTTTTTAGTGTTTAGCTTAAAGTTATATTTTATTCAGTGTATTTAAAGATACAAAATAATACTTTTTGCATTACCTAATCTGGTAAGCAAAAAATATCTTGTGTACAAATGTTCCCTTAAATGTGGGTATACATGCTCTTCTTTTTCCCTTTGTTACTCAAAATAGAGTTTGAGTTATTTTTGTTCTGTTTTTTGTAACCCACGTAGGGCTTATCTTTCCCCCACACCCATGAAATATTCATATTAGGGTTTATAAGAGACCATAATGGTAACATAATTTTTACCTCATTTCCGAAGGAAGAAGAATATTGGGTCACTTGAAGTAGGATTTTATACCATAAAGCTCAAGAGTTCAGGTTCTAGAACCAGACAGACTAGGTTTGAATTCCTGTCTGCCATGTCTTAGTTTGACCTTAACCAGGTCACACTGCCTAAGCCCCTCTTTTCTTATTTGTAAAATAAGGATAGTAAACACTGTAAGTTATGATGATTAAATGAAATAATATATGTTAAATGATCTGAATAGCACCTGTTACACAGTAAGCATTCACTAAATGTTAGCTACTAAATTATAATAATCACTACAACACATGTCTTTTACTACCACATATTTGTTTTTTTAAATAAGTTTAAAAAATAATTTTACTAGGCCCCATGCAGTGGCTCACACCTGTAATCCCAACACTTTGGGAGACTGAGGCAGGAGGATCATTTGAGCCCAAGAGTTTGAGACCAGCTTGGGCAATATAGGGAGACCTCGTCTCTACAAAAAAAAAAAAAATTTAGGCCAGGCACAGTGGCTCACACGTGTAATCCCAGCACTTTGGGAGGCTGTGATGGATGGATAACTTGAGGCCAGGAATTTGAGACCAGCTTGACCAACATGGTGAAAGCCCATCTCTACCAAAAAATACAAAAATTAGCCAGGCATGGTGGTAGGCACTTCTAGTCCCAGCTACTCGAGAAGCTGAGGCAGAATTGTTTGAACCTGGGAGGCAGAGGTTGCAGTGAGCCGAGATCGCACCACTGCACTCCATCCTGGATGACAGAACAAGTCTCCATCTCAAAAAATAATAATAATAATAAAAATACAAAAAAATTATCTGAGTGTGGTGGCACACATCTGTAATCCCAGCTACTTGGGAGGCTGAGGCACAAGAATCACTTGAACCTAGGCTGAGGCACAAGAATCACTTGAACCTAGGCTGAGGCATAAGAATCACTTGAACTTGGGAGGCTGAGGCACAAGAATCACTTGGAAGTTGAAGTGAACCAAGATTGTACCACTGCACTCCAGCCTGGGTGATAGAGTGAGACTTTGTCTTAAGAAAAAAAAAAAAAAAAAGGCAGTATAAGCAGACAGCTAGAGTAGTTTGGCAAGTGGGTAAAAGAAAGGATTCTTGGGGCCTAGTGCGGTGGCTCAGATGCCTGTAATTCCAGGGAGGCTGAGGCAGTCAGATCACCTGAGGTCAGGGATTCAAGACCAGCCTGGTGAAACCCCGTCTCTACTGAAAGAAACAAAAATCAGCTGGGCGTGGTGATGCATACCTGTAATCACAGCTACTTGGGAGGCTGAGGCGCAAGAATTGCTGGAACCCAGGAGGCGGAAGTTGCAGTAAGCCAAGATCGCTCCAGTGCACCCCAAGCCTGGGCAACTGAGTGAGACTCTATCTCAAAAAAAAAATAAGCCGGGAGGGTTGGAGTTCTTGGCCTATACAGAGAATGTGTTTTATATAAGTGGGGAAAAGTAGGCTTGAGAAAATCTCAAGTAGATAATGGGGCCTCAACTTACAGGCCTGGCATTTAGGACCAGATTTAACTTCCTTGATTTTCTTTTTTTTTTTGAGATGGAGTTTCGCTCTTGTTACCCAGGCTAGAGTGCAATGGCATGATCTCGGCTCACTGCAACCTCTGCCTCCTGGGATCAGGCAATTCTCCTGCCTCAGCCTCCTGAGTAGCTGGGATTACAGGCACGCGCCACTATGCCCAGCTAATTTTTTGCATTTTTAGTAGAGATGGGGTTTCACCATGTTGACCAGGATGGTCTCGATCTGTTGACCTCGTGATCCACCCGCCTCAGCCTCCCAAAGTGCTGGGATTACAGGCTTAAGCCACCGCGCCCGGCCAACTTCCTTGATGTTCATTTAAACATAACAAATTGAATATGTTTAATTTTATTTCCTTCAAAGCCCTAATATTATAGTAAAGGAATAAAACAAATGTAAACTCTCAAGGACAAAGAGACAAAGATACCTAAGAAGGAAACAACAATGAGGAAGAGGATGTTGAAATTTTTGGAAGATGGAAAGCAGATAGAGACCTGATTACTGGCTTAACAGAGGAGCAACCTGTAATTCTAGATGCTGTAAAAGGGGCTGCTGAGGAGAAGGGAGAGAGCTCTGGCATGGCTCAGACCAGGAGGAACTAAGTACTCTGGAAAGAAGGGATATGCATAGTGTAAAACTAAAAAGAGAGTTGATTTTAAGTCTGAATATTGAGTGGTCAGACCCTTTCCCCCACCCCAGAATTAATCTTTATGTATGGTATTAGAAAAGGATGGTTTTGTTGTTCTCCATATAGTGAGCCAAATACTCTCTACTAAAAATTCGATTTCCCTTCCTGATTTGTGCTGCTCTTAAAGCTCCCATGTGGCCAGGTGCGGTAACTCACACCTGTAATCTCAGCACTTACAGAGGCCGAGGTGGGAGGATCACGTGAGGTCAGGAGTTCAAGACCAGCCTGACCAATGTGGAGAAATCTCATCTTTACTAAAAATACAAAAAATTAGCCGGACATAGTGGCGCATGCCTGTAATCCCAGCTACTCGGGAGGTAGAGGTTGTGGTGAGCCCGGATCGCGCCACTGCACTCCAGCCTGGGCAACAAGAGCAAAACTCTATCTCTCCTACCCCCGCCCCCCCAAAAAAAGGCTACCATGTATGCATGGATT